ACAAGTCCAGCGCATCAAAATCAGACGTAACAACAATGAAATAGCAACAAAGCACTTGATACTCACCTTCAACTGAACCACTGTACCCGAGACTCTCGAAACTGGCTATGTAAAACTCCATGTCCGACCCTTCATTCCAAACCCGAGGCGTTGTTTTAAATGCCAGCGATTTGGTCATGCATCCCAGAGCTGCCGAGGACAGCTGATGTGTGCTAAGTGTGGCACAACCGGCCACAGTGCTGATGAATGTAGTCATGACGAGATCCTCTGTGCAAACTGCGAAGGTAGCCACCCCGCATACTCCAGAGCGTGCCCAGCCTGGAAAAGAGAAAAAGAAATAAGAACTATAAAAGTTAAGGAAAATATCACATTCAGGGAAGCGAGACAACGAGTCTCGATATCATTAGCACTAAAAACACCTTTTGCCGAAGTGGTGCAACGAGGGGCGGCACCACAAAGGCCCTTGGCAGTTGCCCGGACCACGCCTAGCGTGCCGAGGCCAATGCCACACGCCCCTGCGGCGGGAGCAGCCAGCGCTGCCCTGCCCACTTTCAGCCTGTCCACACCAGTGACCTCTTCAAGCTCTGGCAGCAGCCAGGGCAATCACGAGGCCAAGGGGGCTCCATCAACCCCCAGCTCGATGGGGACAAAGACTTCGTCGATCGAGGCGAAGTCTAAGCGACGCACAGATCGCTCTTTAGAGCGGGTGTCCAGTGCCTCGCAAGAGGCTATGGACACCAGTTCAAGCCAAACGGCGCAGGAAGCGCCGAAGGAGCGGCGAGCTTCGCTCGACCGCCCCAAAAAGGACAGAACGCCGATTACAAGGCCTGACAAAGGCCCTGTAAAATGAGTTAATCCCCGTCTTCTTTGCACACAGCACTTTTTCCCTTTTTTTTCCACTATGGACAAAATCATACAGTGGAACGTAAGGGGAATACTTAGAAATTTAGATGACGTCCAAGAACTTCTGTGTAAGTTTAACGCGAAAGTGCTATGTGTGCAAGAAACGCACTTAACTCCTAAGCACAAGGACTTTCTAGGACAATATATTATTTTCCGAAAAGACCGGGAGGATCCTGTTGTACCATCTGGCGGTGTAGCCATTATAGTCGATCGTAGTATAGCATGCCAGCATTTGAAGCTCCAAACGGCCCTGGAGGCAGTGGCCATTCGAGCTGTACTTTTTACAAACTTATTACCATATGTTCTGTGTACATACCACCACATCAACAGCTACACAGACGTGATCTGGAATCACTAATAGATGAACTCCCAGAGCCATTTCTGGTTCTAGGTGATTTTAATGCACACAATGTCCTGTGGGGCGATGCTCACTGTGATGCGCGAGGACGTCTCATTGAGCAGCTCCTTTTCTCTTCTAGTTTATGTCTTTTAAATATGAAGGAGCCTACGTATTTTAGCCTTGCAAGCAACACATACTCCTCCATAGATCTTAGCATTTCATCACCGTCCCTTTTACCTGTTTTTAAATGGAACGTTCTTAAAAACCCTTATGGGAGTGATCACTTCCCAATCATCCTGAGTGCGCCGAACAAAGATCAACTACCCCCGCAGGTTCCTCGATGGAAGATTGAGTCAGCTGATTGGGAAGGGTATAGAACTCTTACACACATGACATGGACTGAGCTGTCTGCCCTGACCATAGATGACGCTGTCACGTATTTTACAGCTTTTATACTTGATGCCGCATCTAAATGTATTGCCAAAACGAGTGGCATGTCTTCTAAATGGCGAGTCTCATGGTGAAACGACGCATGCAGGAAAGCACGGACCACTCAGAACAAAGCATGGGCGTTGCTTCGCGATTCCCCTACAGCAGAAAACCTGGAAAATTTCAAGCGGGTCAAATCGCAGGCACGGAGAACGCGTCGACAAGCTGGACGAGAGAGCTGGACAAAGTTTATATCGAGTATCAACTCGTACACAGATGAGGGAAAAGTGTGGAATAAGGTAAAGAAAATTAAGGGCCAACAAACGTATTCTCTTCCACTAGTAAATAGCCTCGGGGGAAGCTTGGAGGATCAAGCCAACTTTCTTGGCACACATTTCGAACACATATCGAGCTCCTCACACTACTCCGAATCCTTCCAGAATTACAAGGCACGAATAGAAAAACAAAAGTTAGAAAGAAAATCCCCAAGAAATGAGGCATATAATGCACCATTCTGCTTAGCAGAACTGCGAACAGCACTCAACTGCTGTAATACATCTACCCCAGGTTCTGACAACGTAATGTACGCGATGCTGAAGGAACTACCCTCCGCAACTAAAGAAACCCTCCTCTCTCTTTATATCGCATATGGTTTTCAGGTGTGATCCCCTCCTCCTGGAAGGAGGCTGTTATAATTCCAATTTTGAAGCAGGGAAAGGATCCCTCTACTGTATCAAGTTACAGACCTATAGCGTTAACAAGCTGCCTCTGTAAGCTATTTGAAAAAATGATTAATTGCCGCTTACTCCACTACTTAGAAACAAACAATTTGCTCGACCCATTTCAGTGTGGGTTTCGAGACAGTAGATCCACCACAGACCACCTTGTTCGTAATGAGGCACAGATCAGAGACGCCTTCGTCCATAAACAATATTTTCTCTCTGTGTTCCTCGATATCGAAAAGGCCTATGATACAACATGGCGTTTTGGAATTCTAAGAGACCTGTCCCACCTTGGTGTGTGCGGAAGAATGTTTCACATAATTGAAAGTTACCTGTCAAACCGAACATTCCGTGTCCGTGTGGGCAGTGTTCTCTCCCGAACATTTGTCCAGGAAACAGGCGTGCCACAAGGTGGTGTACTTAGTTGCACACTTTTTATTATCAAAATGAATTCCTTGCACTTGTCCATCCCCCGCAATATGTTTTATTGTACATATGTCGACGACGTTCAGCTTGGCTTCAAGTCATGCAACTTGGCAATGTGTGAGCGGCAGGTTCAGCTGGGTTTGAACAAGGTCTCCAAATGGGCTGATGAAAACGGATTTCAACTTAACCCACAAAAAAGCACCTGTGTCTTGTTCTCTCGAAAGAGAGGCATGCATTCGGAACCTGACATTGAACTGAACGGACAACGTCTGTCTGTCAATGCGGAGCATAAATTCCTAGGCTTAATCTTGGACAACAAGTTGACCTTCGTACCGCACATCAAGTATCTAAAAACAAAATGCTTAAAAGCCATGAATGTTATAAAAGTGTTGTCACGTACTACGTGGGGTAGTGACAGGCAATGTCTCATCAACCTGTATAGAAGCCTCATTCGCACCCGCTTAGATTATGGGGCCGTTGTTTATCAGTCTGCGACTCAAAGTGCTTTGAAGGTGCTGGACCCCGTGCACCATTTGGGCATCCGCCTTTCTACGGGTGCTTTTCGCACCAGCCCCGTAGAAAGAATTTATGTTGAGTCAAATGAGTGGTCGCTTCATCTGCAGAGAACTTACATTTCCTTTGTATACTTCCTGAAGGTGAAAGCAGACAAGAAGCACCCCTCATACTCTACTATTAATGATCTGTCGAGCTCCATTCTGTTCCAAAACAGGCCTTCAATGAGGCAGCCCTTCTCAGTACGCCTGAAGGGTCTAGCTGAAGAAACTGGAGTGTCACTTGAACACAGTTTAATGGCTCCTGTAGCATACCCGCCACCGTGGCAGTGGCAGATTATAGACTGTGATGTGTCGTTCCTAGAAGTTACAAAACATGCGCCTATTGCCCATATCCGAACATACTTCCTGGAACTTCAACACAAATACACACGTCCTGAGTTTTTGACAGATGCCTCTAAGTCCAACTCCTCTGTGTCCTACGCTGCTGTCGGCCCATCCTTTTCGGATGCTGGCCCTCTACATCCAAGCACAAGTATCTTCACAGCAGAAGCTTACGCGATACTTGTGGCAGCTAAACACATCAAACAACTACAAATACAAAAAGCAGTAATTTATACAGACTCACTCAGTGTTGTAACGGCTCTGCGCAGTCTTAAAAAACAAAAAAACCCTGTCCTCGTCTCACTTTACTCTATTTTATGCACACTCTACACACTCAACCAACGTGTTGTAGTGTGCTGGGTGCCAGGGCACTGTGAGATTCAAGGCAACGTGATGGCGGATCAGCTTGCTGCATCCGCCCACGAAAGCACCACCATTACACCCACATCAATCCCGGCCCTTGATCTTAAGCCGTCTCTCAAACGAAAACTCAGGGACTACTGGCAGAGCAAGTGGGATACACACACACAAAACAAACTACACGTTATCAAGCCACACCTTGGTCATTGGCTGCCAGTATCAAAATCGCGTCATACAGAGGTTATACTAACGAGACTCAGAATAGGACACATATACACGACACACACATATCTTTTGTCTGGTGGCGACCCACCATTGTGTGACAGATGCGGTGAACCATTGACCGTCCTTCACGTGTTAATCCAGTGTAAACACTTAGAAACTATAAGAAAACAGCATTTTTCATTACCCTACCGACAACATATACCTTTACACCCTGCAATGTTCGTTGGTAGGGAACCGCTTTTTAGTCATAAATCATTGTTAGCGTTTTTAAAAGAAATTCGTAATTTTCATATATACTCGGGCATCCCGTAGCTCGACCTCTCCAGGGAGGTTTTTGCTGCGGTGGCTACACAGGAAAGCACTTGCCTCACGGCCCTTGCACGCAAGGGTATGAACGAGTGAGGCACTTGTGCTAATGCCATACATATACACTATCGTTTTTTATTATCACCAACTTTTGTTATCTATTCACACCACACACACCTTTCACGGCATGGTCATGTTTTTATTACTTGTATGTTTTTACCCGCCTTACCGCGAGGAATTTTATGGCCCTTATACAGCCGCTAATCACAATCATTGTCCACATTCCTTGTCGCATGAACTGGCGCTCTTTGGCCATCAAATGGCCCTTGCGCCAAAAAACACCATATATCATCATCATCATCATCATCAACCCACTGAAGCGGCTGCAGGTGGCAGTGACACAGTGACACGTAAGCATCTGAGAACTTAGTGTTTATTGATTATGGGACGTATGTGCCCCCAGTTCGTAAACTTTTATTCTTTACTCCACAGAAGGCCCCCAAGTTACCCTGAAAGCGCGTCCGCTGCACCGGGTAAGTTATTGATCATCAAAGTGTTTTGAGAAAATAACCTTTCGTATGTTATTCGAAATGCCCAATTATTCACAACATGGCCATAGACTTAGAGCCTACCACCGCATTTGGTGACGAAAATGCTGCATGTTTTCAGTGTCTCAGCCTCCTGTGCGGCCTCGCCGTTGACAGAGACCACGGCGCGCCGACTCCTTGTTGCGGGTGTCTTCGCAGTGCGACCAGAGCCTCGAGCAGAACGAGCAGTTGCTTGATGTGAGTAGACCGTTTGTTTACATTTTACGTGAAGGGTGTGAACATTTTTGATGCTCTGTTATGATGACTGAAACCAACTTGGGCTGTAAATAAGAAACATGCATTGTATTGAGGGCACGGTATCTGACATCTGCAATGATAAACTGCCACACAAAAGGTTGGTTAGCCCTGAAAAGGGCTGTTTGATGCTAAGAGATGCATTTGAGGAGATGAATGAAGAGTAGTTCCAGCAATTGTTTGTTGATCCAAACGAAGAGGGCATAGCTTGTACACGAAGGTTCACACTTTCGAAGGATGCCACCAGGCCAATGAATTTTCAACTGATGGGAAATTGTTGTGCACGTTGCAATTCTCAGCAGCAGCATCTTCGAGCCACGAGATGGTCGAGAGTTTTTCAGCAGCTTATGCAAACTTTTCCACCATGATGATTCATTGCAGGTGGTGCGGGGGATCAGAAGGTCAGCCACCCACATCACTTCTCTAGTGCGGCGTATGGCAGCAGCACAGGAGCGGGTGGCAGCAGCACAGGAGCAGACGGCAGCGTTGCAGGAGAGCATCCTGCAGGCGGTCCAATCCTTGGCCCGGGCCATGGCTGAGGGCCCTCTGCGGGAAAGAGCTACATAGTTATTTTAAATTTTTCATCATGTTTTCAATGTTTTAAATTTTTATCATGCATAATTCGTTTGTTGTTATATGTTTACGTGTTGCTGTCAATGTTCTATTTCATACGTTGTTTTTTTGCATTTAATACATATTACTAGCTTTAGGTTAGCATTTACTTTGTACAAGGAGTACAGCATTTTTTTTCTTCACAAGTCTTTCATCTCTTTTGATGCTCGATATATGCGTTTCTCAATTTATGTTCGACCTACTCGTGGGGCAGCGTCTCCCCCCTCCCCCTCCCCCCCATCTTAAAGGTGTCTAGTCATCCACACGAAGACCAAGAGCATATAGTTGACATTTTTGTGAATGTTTTTAGCACTGTGATATTTGTGTTGCCTCGCTGTTTTCTAGCTCACTGCGCTTTTTATGCAGCATTACCACATAGTGTTGGACTGTGATATCTTTTAGTCTCACACTGTTTCGAAGCTCGCTGCATTCTTTATGAAGCATGTTTACCTGCCGAAAATTGCTTACACTGTGCTATTGTCATTTCAGAGCAATGAGGCTAAGGTACAACTACAACCAAGTCTTTTTTGAGATCACTAAACTAGCAAGTGGGTATGTGGCACAGTTTCACTAATAAAAATGGTCATCATCACAGCAACATGCCAGTGACTGTTTTCATCTAGTTTTCATTATAAATTACTCATTGCAGGAATTAATTTTGAACGTGTTATGCTTTGGAAGCAGTGAGATTGCTGAGCCAAATATTCATGCCGTATGTCATCAACACAGCCCACATGTTATTTTCTGCTTTGAAATATTTACGCATTTTGTAGCATTGCAGTATAACTGCAGTCGAGAATTCATATCAAATGAAATATTATTTAAATATTTATACAATGTTGAGGAAAATGAACAAAAAGCCGGCACAGCATTGTGCTCGGCAAGCCTAGCGTGTACAGTTGAATGCTTGCAGTCAATGACTATGAGAAGAGACGGACATATGTATCATGCGTTCTTGTAACATGTTTCTAATGTAACTGCAATTTTTATGCATTTTCATGAAAGGAGTGTGACGTTACTGCACTGTTCCCACAATCTTTTGATGGCAACAGTCAGCACAGGGTGCCCCTCATATACGCTTGCTCCAATCTAGTCTGTTGTGACTGTGATCACTGATATAGAAAAGGGTGTTTCATGGGCCTATTTCATGTGACATTCAAAGAAAATGCAGCATTTTCCCATTGCCACCGCGCATCATGTTGAAGCACGAGTAAGTACTTTGTGTTGTGGCAAACACGGCCCTGTCTTGCCTGGGTGCACTGGAATTAGTATGAATAAGTTATGTGTGTGATATGACAGCTTACCGTTCTTGTGCACTTCAAAAAAGGCCCACGACAGCGCTGCGCTGCTGCTGTCCTCTGAGCAGCACGTTGCGTGGTGTGAGCATATGGCTTTCTCCTGGCTCCCCATCGTCATCCTCAGCTGGTGGCATGTCCCCAACATACTTATCCAAGGTCCAGTCCCCCGCGTCCAATGCAATGTTGTGGAGAGCAGCGCAAGCATAAATAATTCGCCCTGCTCGATCGGGGTTGTAAAGCATCGTTCGAAAGTGCTGCAAGCAGCGGAACTTGCTCTTCAACACTCCGATACATCTTTCCACAACATTGCGCATGGATGCGTGCTCCTTGTTGAATCGGCCTTCGAAAGTGTTGCCGGGGTGACTGCCAGGCACTGGAATGAGGAGCCATGGCTTGAGGGGATACCCTGCGTCTCCTGCAATAGAAAAATGGCAGCTGAGTGCTCTACCCAAGTAAGTTCACATTAATACTTACCAAGCAGATATTCGCCAGGCTGCAGCTGTGCATCTAGGCGTGCACGAAAAGGGTTGTGTTCCCAAACTCGGGAGTCGTGGCACGAACCTGGGAATCGTGGGTTCACGACAAGGATGCGCAGCCGCGCGTTGCACACCCGCAATGAGTGATACGAAATAGTACTGCATCTATGCTCCAAACAAACCCCTTCTTGCTACTCATAAGCAGGAAACAATGCATACTAGTACAGTCGTTGGTACAGGCAGTTTCACCTAGAGGGGAACACAGGGACAGGGTGTAGCATTTGAGGAGGGAAGGGGGCAATGACCATTCCCCTGTACACATGGCTACGACTTCCACTGAATGATTGATAAATGAAAACCTACACCATGCTTTTGGGAAAAACCACTCGTAAATACCACAGCTAGCCCATGCAATTGTGGTTATAAGTACTTTCGTGTTTGAAATACTTCCCTATCGTGTATATAATTCTGCTACGACTACAGCCCATATTCTGATTACCTTCAAAATGCTCAACTCCATTGCGCATGCATGCCAGAACGAAGACACAAAATACGACAACTGGCTCACTTACACAAACACTTGCCACTTATGATAACCGAGGCCATGCGAGCCACCAACTAGCACGCACCTATTTCTCCGCAGGTTCTCTCTTATTCTTTGAATTAGTACTTTTTCCAGCTCCAAGGTCACAACTTAACAATTACTCCGATGGGCGAGTAAGAAAGGATCCTAACGGTACTTACTATTATGACGTTCAGGGCATAATAGCCTTTTCTGCACATGAAACTCGCCGTGTCGGCCAGGCTCTATCCCTCTGGTTTGCGAATGGCGACCGACGTGCCGTCGACACACGCCAGCACGCCTGGGATGCAACCACGTCGTGCAAACTCCGCCTTAGCCTCATACTTGGCAACTGTGGTCAGTGGGAAGTCCACCACCCTTTTTCAAGCAGCCACGGTAATGATCGCCTCCGTCACCTCGTGGATGGTGTTGCTCACCGCCGGCAGAGACATGCCGATGTGTTCCTCGCGACCAATGCTCTTCTGGAAGCTACCGGTGGCAAAAAATTGCAGCGCGCACAACACCTTTCTCTCTGTGGAAAGGCCACTGGCTTGCTGGCATCCGATGATAGGGTCAAGTTCGTCGCACAAGCTACGCACTGTTCGTTTGGACAGACGAAAACATTGCAAGAACTCTTCTTCGCTGAACTCTTCAAATGCATCTTTTACCTCGCCTCGTCGCCCCTGCTAGGTTAAAGCTACCGCACAGGCAAGACGAAGTGCCGTGTCAGTGGGAAACGCCATGTTGTCTAAGTGCCCCGATGCCGAAAAGTCGCGAATCCTTTTCATTTCAATACAATCCAGGCCACCTTGCAACCATTTCAATCCATCCGGTTGCTTTTGGACGGTCTCTCGGACCGTTCCTTCGCCTTTCTCCGAAAACCGGAGAAAGACAGTCACGTGACACCCCAGGCCATGTCACTCATAACGTCACAGCATTCGTCACAGCTTGTATGGGCCAATAGCGTGCACGTCAATGGAACAGACCACCTTTGTCCGGATTTGGAACTTGTATATAATCGCACCACTGATGTCATACTATAGCAACGGGAGGTGAGCGACTACACGACCGCACCGCTGTTTCGTACTCCGTATCGCCAGCCTTTTTTTTCTTTCTGTGGTTGCTTGTTGTGTCAGCTATATCAAGTATAGCTAGATCAGATCTTTCAGGAAGAGTCTAATCTGAATTTTCATGCCAAGGAAACTTGCTCAATGACAATGCAGGCTCACCAAGGTCAATGCGTTCAGAAACACAAGTGTGGAACAAGCGCCGAAAGCACCGCTGGAAAAGCAGACGCGGTTGCATATCACGAATTTCGCCTCATGGACTGACCTGGACTTGTACAAGTACTCTTGAACAGCGTGTGCTTCAAACTTGGTGTGTGTTAGTGTTCTATATAGACCCTAATGTTTGTGAAACGTTAATTGTGGTTGCCGTGCTGGCTATCCAATTATATCATGATAACACATGCACTCCTATGATACAGTCGTGATGTTGGGTTAACGTCAGTTGTGATTAGGTGCCATGCGCTGAAGTCGATTTATGTAAGAGCGTTTAGGGGTATCATCCTCAGAAGCATCAGCGCTTGATATCAGCTTATCGCTTCTGGTGTTGCTAATACTCATGTTCCCTGTTGACATCTTCGCGAAAGTGCAAAAAAAAAACTGAAAATACAAACATTTGCAACGTGTGTCTGTGCCTGCAGGATTTGTACATATTGTTACGCTGAAGCGACAACGTGTGAAGACAGGAAGAGGAGAACGAAGTACCGTAATTACTCGAATCTAACGCGCACCTTTTTTCCGGTTAAGCGAGTTCATAAATCGCATGCGCGTTTGAATCGAGTACGAACAATAAAATTACGGTCAATCTATTGCCATTGGCAAATCCAAAATGGCCGCCCCCTACGTGCGTCGGCATGACGCGTCGGCCATTTCTGCCTATGTGTTTCCCATGTGCGGCACTTCGTACTTGTGCTGAGGAGTTCGTCATCTAGTAGTGCATTAGCATCGACGGCGTGGAAGGGCCGACTCCAAAAACCCGAGTGCACCACGATGCCGCTTTTAAAAGAAAAGTCATCGCGTGTGCAGAAACGAACGGAAATCGGGCCGCATCGAGGTCGTTCGGAGTTCCCGAAACGTCCGTGCGGGACCGGCGGAAACAAAAGCAGAAGATTGTCGACAGCAAAGCTTCACGCAAAGGCTTCAGTGGACCACAGCAGGGTCGGTTTCCGCAAATTAAAGAGCTGCTCGGCGAGTATGTGCTTGAGCAGCGAGCGGCACAGCGGCCCGTGACGACAGAACTGCTCCAAGTGCGGGCATTGCAATTAGTCTTAGAAAAAGGTCTAATGCGGAGCCAGTTTAAAGCGAGCAGGTGCTGGCTAACTAACTTTATGAAGAGGAAAGGCTTTCCCTTCCGAAGGGGAACATGCATATGCGAAAACTTTTGCAGAGGAGTACGATGAAAAGCTTCACAGTTTTCAGAGGTTCGTCCTAAACTTGCGGCGCAACAACGGCTACCTGCTGGGGCAAATCGGGAATGCCAATCAGACGCCTCTTTACTTCGACATGCCTGGCACCACAACCGTCGAGAAGAAGGAGGCGAAGCAAGTTCGCGTGCTGACATCGGTCCACGGTAAAACAACAGTGACGGCAATGCTCTGTTACACGTCAGATGGGCACAAGCTTCGCCC